AGGAAGACAGAGATGGTGGGTCTACGTAAAGAATGCCGGTGCTCCAGAATTTGGCGCAGATTGAAGATGTGGCCGATACAACCTCGACCGGGTCTAAAATCAGTCTGGTTTTCACGCGTGCACCGTTCACGTGCGGCAAATAATCGGCGGAGTATGATGCCAGCGAGAAGTTTAGAGACGATGTCGATTAAATTAATTTCTCCATGGTTTTCACAAGAGGATGTATCACCCTTGTCGTAAATCGGTATGATCACCGACTCACACCATTCAGCTGGAACCTCTTCCCTTTCCCATATGGATCCCAGTAGTTTTGTCAACTCCCAGAGTAATGCTTATGGGAACAGCCCACGTGAGCCAGAGGCTTCATGCCTTTTGAGATAACTTATTTCCCGAAATACCTCCATTTCAGATGGAGGACTAGCATCAACTGGGCGTATTTCTCCAGTCGAGGCGGAGAGTAAAAGATAAGATGGCGATTTGGGCCAGTTGAACTGAGCCTTGAAATGTTCGGCCCAACGGTCAAGTCGTCGTTGCTGATCGTGGATCAGTGTGCCATCCTATTTTTTAATTACCTCACACCTATTTTCCTATGGACGTATTCCTAATTAGATGGAAAAGATTACGACTATTACCAATAACCGCAACTTTCTTCATCTCTTTACACTTTTCTACCCACCACTTCTCGTGATCATTCGTCAGACTCTTAATGAGCTGGCGTGCTGTGTCGTATGTGGCATCCAGAGGAAGGGTTCTGCGGGCGTCCTGCAGGGCAACCGAGGTCGACGAAATCCATCGTTTGTGTTTTGAGCTTTAGGCAGAATCCGACGTTGTTTTTATCGATATGTGCATAGTTTCCTTGATTTGCTTCCAGTGTTCATTGAGTCCTTCGGCTGGCGGTTGAACTGACTGGCGATCGGAAAGCTCCGCTTCGAAGGCCGATTTGCATGAATTGCTGACACATTATCTTGGGTATCCGTTGTCGGTGACCTTTTTTGAGGTTGTTTGCCAGGCGTAACGAGAACTTGGCTCGTAAGAAGGCGTGGTCTGTATCCACAGCTGTTGCTCAGTAAGAGCGGCAGTCGTGAATTGATTCCCTATAATGGTAACTGATGGCGATATGGTCGATTTGGGTCCAGCGCAGTGAAGAGGTTGGCTGTTTCCATGGCGTTTCTTGCGCGAGAAGTTCGTGTTTGACAGGAACAATCCGTGGTCTGTGCAGAGTTGAAGTAGGCAATCTCCGTTGTCCGTCAGACTTTACCGGTCAAAAAGCCCGCTAGATGGACGTAGGAATGAGGTACCTGGGGCTTCCTGTCGACGGTGGGAGAATTCTTCGCAATTCATTGGACAGCTACCGCCCGCCCAAGCTGGGCAGCCCCCAGCCAATAAGGTGCTGTCCCGCCCAAGGTTGTCTCATTGGATGCTTGAGGACCCTCAATCAACGCACCAGCGAACAAAACACAACTGAAATTCAAAGGCCTTGCGTGACAAGTCTCCAGAAGGTCCCATTCGAGTGATCGACCTGCGTAGAGTTTTGGGTCATGTGTTACGCATGTCACCAGATAGGTTGCCGCTGCGGGCGATGTTTGCCAAGGCAGGTAGCGGTTGGAAAAAATCCAGGGTGGTCAAACTAAGACCTGGCATGGGAGTATGAAAACCCTAACCGGGAAACTAGGTCACATAGGCCCCGTTGGGCTCTCTGGCTGGGGACCTCGGGATGTGGTCACCGATGGTCAGAGACGCTTAGTGATGTGGCTGGG